AAAGGGAAAGATATTGCAAACAATTTACAACTCTGGCAAAAAGTTGAAAACAGACCTGACTTGGTAGCCAGAGTTTTTAATATTAAGCTGAATGCTCTTTTAAATGATATCTGTAAATTCCATTTATTTGCCAAAGTAATAGCTAAAATTCATGTCATTGAATTTCAGAAACGTGGACTGCCTCACGCTCACATATTATTGATATTAGATAGTGAGTCCAAATTACATTCCTCTAATTAATTCCCTTTCAATGTGCATAAATTTCGTGCAGTGGGTACTAGTGGAATATATAGTAAACTGGAGATAAAAGAAAATTCTTTTTTATTTTTGCAATACTCTGCTTACCTTTAGAGCTGACCAGAATTGTCTTTCTTGGAACTTTGAATGTGGTGATGTTTTGTTTTCTACAGCACTAATGTGAAATGAAAGACAAAGGAGAAAATACAAAGAACTGTTAATCTTTCAGAAACAGAGTTTAAAAAACTGAGTGTTGTTTGTTTTTAACCAACCACACTAAACTTTAATGGAATATAATATAAAAATTACAAATGCATGCACACTTTGACCTAACAAACCTATTTTTGAGAATGGCTTCTGTAGATATACGTACACATGTACAGAATATCTATAACATTATTCACAACACTGTTGGTAATAGTTTGCCACTTATATGCCCATCAGTCACAGTACACCTACATGATAGCATATTTAATGCAGCTTAAAAAAGAAATGAGGAAACTACTTTTATGATGATATATATGATGACAAACTACTTAGATGAAGATTTCAAAGATGTACTAAGTCAAAAAAACAGTGTACAACTATTTACAATATACTTTCTTTGCTCTAGAAAGGGCGAGGAAATAAGATTACAATATATAAGTATTTAATTCTAACTGCATAAAGAAACTGGAAAGGTAAAAAATTACTGATTATTATTGCATGCATTCATGTACACAGTGGAGAAAGATCAAAAATTGGGTGGATGGAGGTCAGGAGTGGGATGGACTAAGACTTTTTATTTTAAATATAACATTTAACTCTTCAATCCTGTGAGTACTTGCTGAGTAGCTTCAGATCATGATCCATAACTATAACTGATGTCTTCTTAGCAAATGTATAAACATGCATCAAATAATACTTTCATAATTTAAGTAAATACAGAATTCACAGATGCAGTTTCTGGCCCCTCAGTGATGGTCCAGGCCTTCTGCTGTGCTTTCTCTGTGCTAGGCATTGTTTGGCGCACTCTTCATCTTCACACTGTCCTTTAACGTGGGCATTAGTTTAATGTCCCATTTTACTTTGAGGACAGAGAAAGGCCCAAGGTCATTATCTAGTAACTAGAAGCCCGATGCACTCAATTTGTGAAAGAGTAGGCCTTCCTTCCCCCGGCTGCCAGCACCGGTTTCCCTCTAGCACCTGGGACCCGGGCTGGCTTCCCTCCGGCTGCCCACAGGCACCCGGGACCTGGGCTTCCCTCCGGCCCTGTCCGGTCTAATTAGCATATTACCCTTTTATTATTATAAATGGTGAATCTGGGCTTTTCATTACTCTGCTATGCCACCTATCATGTTCTTAAGAATAACATTAAAAACAAACAAACCACCCTATCTCCAAGTGTCAAGCATTGGACATGGTATATAGAAGGTAACTGAGAAATATTGAAATCTTAATTTGTGTCTAAATAGGTATATGTATACTTTGAAAATACTTAGTATAGTTTCTTTTGTATTACATTCTTAAATCTGTATTACATGATTATTTTATACAATCTAGACATTAGTAGCTCTTACCTTTTTGGATACAGAGGAATGTAAACATCATCTTCTATTGCTTTCTTCATTCTTGAAACAATGGATTTAAGTAAGTCCTATTATTTGAAAATTTAAAAGCATCAGTGATAGTCATAAATTTAAAAGCATCAGTGATAGTCATAAATTACCAAAAGAAGTAATTTATTTTGTACACACACCGAATTAGGTGTTAAAATATCAATTAGGTACAAGAGAACTTCGTGCATCCATGTTATCGCATGTCACTGTAGTTGGTACATTTTCACTGCCGTATAGTGTTCTGTTGCATGAATACTACTGATAGGACATTTAGATGGTTTCCAGTTTGGGGCTATTATGAATAATGTTGCTATCAAAGTTCTTGCCCATGTATTTAGGAAGTAGTAGTGGTATCCCATTTATAGTCCCACTGGCTCTGTATGAGAAAACCTGTTTACTTACACCCTCATCAAAATGCAGTTGTTGTCTTTTTAAATCCTTACCTGAGGATATTTTTTCTCTTGATTTTCAGACAGAGTGGAAGGAAGGAAGGAGGAATGGGGAGAGAGACACACATACATAAGTTTGTTGCCTCCCAAATGCTCCCTAACTTGGGCGGAGGATTGAACCTGCAACTTGAGGTATGTGCCCTGGACTAGGAATCAAACCCACAACCCTTTGGTGGGCTGAGGCTTTAACCACTGAACCACACTGGCCAGAGCCCTAGTTTCTATAAATCAGAACTAAGTATATTCCCCCCAAATAGTTTTCTGATAATTACTTCTTGTGCTTCTTCTGTAAACAAAGACTTATAATAAATTATATTGATTTATAAATAAATTAAGAAATTTATAACTCTAGAAATTACCTGTTTGCCTTTACTAACTTCATTCTCACAAGTGGAATGTTCTTCAAGAATCATCCTGCAGTGAGCTATTAAACTTGTTGTCTGTGAGGTTGACAAAGGATCCCATATGAATTCTACAAAGTCTGAAACAAAAATTTCAGTGGTGCACAATTATTTACTCAATTGCTTTGCTTGTTATATATAAACAACCGAAGCTTTTTAGCAAAGATTACTGCCTTTTGTGGTTTAAAATCCACACTAATCATTACCATTACATATTTGCATACATCCTCAATTTCCTTGTCCTTTTGGGTTTTGCTGAATTCCTCTGGCTAAACCACCCCTTGTTAAATCCACCTTGTCACCGAGTCTGTTCTTGCAATCATGCAACTAAAAAGTGGCTGGAAAAAACTACACTTTAAATTCATCACCGTGAAACTCAAGTGAACCCTGAGCTACACTGGCCAGGGCAGTACTGAGGAGAAACATAAGGGGACAAGTTAGGGAGGATAAAATAATACAGGTAGTAGGGATAGAAGTGTGCCACTAATTAATGACCTAGGAGTTATAAAAGCAATACTAATGTCACAAATGCTAAAGGCTAAAGATTATCAATAGTTTGATAGCAAATTAATTGCACCAACAAGCATTTTTTCACCAGCTTAAATTATGACACCTGTTGATTTTTACTGCTTATTACATTTACTTGTATTAAAAAAACTTCTGAGAAAAAAATTGTAACTGTAACAGAAAATAATGATCTTATATTTTGCCCCAAAACAATTTAATCAAGATTACAAAACCATACCTGTAAGTCGTGGAATAATTGTTTTGTTGATGACAGAAGATAAGATTTTCTTATCAGAACTATCTTCCTTCTTTGAATCTTCCATACTATTATCTATAAATTTTTCTATAGATGTGAACCATGGCATCTGTTTTAAACCTATGGAATCAAACTTACAAATAAAATTATCAGTTATAAATAAATTCTTACACATTAGCTTATTTTTAAATGGTTAACTTTTTCAGTAACTACTGGAGCTTTCTAAGGATCAAAAGCAAGTAATTCCATATTTTAACTCCATATATACAGTACTAGAACACCAAGGCTAGGCAGGATGACAACAGTAAGACAGGATGTCTATGCAATATGATGCATTTCATACATTTTTATGACGAATCCCAAAATGCCTGCTCTATGTTAAAAGCTGACTATACTGCAAGCACTGTCAGGAGCAAAATACACATTTTTAAGAAGATAACTCAATAAGTGCTATTCTTATTTATTTATACAAATTTATTTACCTTGTGCAAAATTCATTTCTGGCTCCCTCAAGCCTCATAAGCACAAATGTGTATTTTGCCTGTGATTTAGCTTACTAGGCAAATAGCAAATGGCCAGTTATTTGTTGACTGAATGAATTAACGGATCTCTGCTGGGCCTAACAGAGTACTCCATTCAGCTTGAGTGGTTAACAACTAACTAGGCTGCTGTCCCATCAACTACCTACCACTTTCTTACAGAGAAGCTTGGTTCCTATACTATGAAGACGGTATGGCCTTGAACCTAACACAGAGCCAACAGCCATGCATGACTAGGGCAGAGAAAGATAAAAGGACATGACGCCATTCTTCTCTTTGTTAAATCTTTACCTTCAGCTCCCCTCTCTTCCTAGAATTTCATGATCACATTTCTGTTTCCTTATCAGGCATATCTAGACAGATGTCCTGTTATTATTTCATTCTCTATAAAGTGAAACTTCCTTCAAAAACTGTTCCCTTTCTGAAAAGTCCCCATTTCTATTAATGAAACTACCACTGTTCTAACAACCCAGAATCCAAATGTTGGGGTATCTTTGGATGTGGGGTGTTAGGTTTATGCTTAGCATTTTACTGATTCTTGCTTTATAACATCTCTTGTAATCAACTCTTTTTTCTCTTTTCATTACTACCACTCTTCGTAAGAAATTCATCACCTTGGACTTGAGCTATAGCAAATCCTTCCAGTATATACTCCCACCTTTTATCTTCCTTCCCTCTAAGTTAGCCTACTGGTAGGATTTCCCAAACCATTACTTTCATCATGTCACTTCTCCCATTATTTACCAAAGCAAGTTCATACATCTTAATTTAGGACCTGAACACTGTGCAGTGTCTACCTCCTGAACTCTATTTCTCCCTATGCACCTTTATGAAATACCTTTTCCTCTTTCCCCTCCCGTTTAAGTCCTATATACCTTTCAAATCCCCAATAATATCCCTCCTCCTCAATGCACTAGCTTCACTAACCAACTATTTCCAAGATGTCATCTCCAACTTCAGAACTGGTACATGTCTATTTCCCAAGACTGTAAAATTCTTAAGGCCTAAAACTACCTTTATTTTTTGAGTGACCTTAAACTTATCAAAGCAGCAGCTTAAAAAAAATGTTTCCTTTACTGGTGTTTAGTGTCACTCAGCTTCAAAAATAAAGTGTAAACCATGAAAAGGTAGATGTAGACTATTACTCCAAATCACCAACTATCAACTCCAACTCTAAAGGTGAGGTATTTTATAGCTAACCTGATAACAAGGGAATTTAAGTAACTAATGTGATCAGGATTTTTCACGTTAAGCTTAAATACCTTAAGAGGATTCCAATCAATCAACTGAACTCGTATTAGGGGATTTAAAAGCTTTGGTATGCATAAACCAATGAAAGCTTCATAATAAGAATCTGGAAACTTTTCTCGCCATTGTTGAAATTTTAACAAGATATTCTGGATATTACAAAAATCATCATGCACATCTTCAAAGATCTTCTTATGATCCTGTAAAATGTCACCTGTGAACAAAAATGAGTCTTTGTTATGCATTTTAGCCGAGCTTCCTATAAGCAATCATATATAACTACTAAATCAACTGAGTTGAAAACTTTCCTTTGATATTGACATATAAACTAGTTTTTATTAAAAAATCACTTTAGTAATATCAATACTAACAAAATCTACCATTTATTGAACCCCTTCTATATGACAAAACATTACAAATACATGATCTCATTTCATCATAACTATCTTTCCTAAAAGTTAGGTGTTACTAGCCTCCCTATTACAGACAATAAACAAGCAAGCAAACACCATCAGATTTAGGGAAGTCAAGGAATCTGTACAAGACACACTGAATGGAGCCCCTCTTCAAAGCCATCTCATTGACTGCAAAGCCCACAACTCTTTCAACTATACATTTTTTACCTTCTCATAATGGTAAAATGGCTTTACTATATTCAGTTATTTTAAATTACAAGTGATAAAATACTACAGAAAGTACGTGATGAGCAATGAAACCCGTAATGTTCATGGTTCCTTTATAACAGGAAATGAGGAAGGCTGAGGGAAAAAAACTATAAAGATGCAGTAATACTCATAATGCTCCTCCATTTTATCCCAGTTTTTCAAAGGTAGGAAAAGTCTCCAAGAACACTTTCTCCCCCTAAAATTTCCTATTTTATACAGCTTATGTATTTAAGGGCAATCAATACAAAGCAATTCCCACTTCGAATAAAGATACATTAGAAACTTGGTGGCTGACCTTGACTTTTTTGGAAGTCAGCCATGTCTGCTGAAGATAGTTCATCATCACTAGATGTCCCTTCCTGATGATCACAATTCCCAGAAAGTGCCCTTGCTTGTCTTCTTTGTGCCCTGTATTTTTCAATACACCGAAAATCAATGAAAAACAAATAGCTCCTGCCGAAAGTAAATGCTTTAAACCAGGAAGTAGAAGTCATAATTCATTTAAAATGCCCAGAAATACAGCATTATATTGGCACACAATTTTATGTTAATATTTTTGACATTTAAGCTTCATTATTTTGAATTGGTTGTTCTCCCTCTTTTTTCTTATGATATTCCCATTTAGGATATTCCCACAGGTTACCAGGCTTTGAAGAATGGATAACAATATAATTATGACTGGCTTCTACTTAGCAGCAATTTCCAGCCTGATAAATGCCATTTATTCCTTCTGACTGATCCAAATACACCAGTCTGTACTTAAACCCTGGGATTGAGGGTTTAAATTATATTTAATTAAGACTGCTAAGCTATATTTTGGTTTTACATCATTCTCACAAATTAATTTGTTAGGTTATGATTAATTATACCATGTAGTTCATTATATTTAAGTAGTGAAAAATACTTGCTCAATGGTGCTTTTAAGTCTTCACTTTATATAGCTACCTTCGAGATTCAATTTCTTCTAAAATCCATTGAGTTTTTTCATCTATAGCCAAGCTTCCATTTGTTGATGTTTCAGCTTTGCCTATTTTCAAAAGAAATAAAGTAAAATACTTTAAAACAAAAGTTTTATCTTGGGTGTGTGTGTGTGTATATATATATATATATATATATATATATATACTTGCATATCTATCTATATATATAAACACATATGCTTAAATTCTATATTACATTATGCAATGAAAGTGCAATGTTAATTCCCTATCACAGTATTAATAGGCACTGAGTTTGTGAGCTTAAGAAAATATATATTGAGGACAGTAAAAAAATTCCTCTAATTTCTTTGTCTCAGATTCTGTTTTAATAGTTTTCACCAGTTCTTTTTGTCCATGTAGCTAAGTGCTAGATACATTTGCATTACCAATATGTTATTCATATTATTTCCTATTTTGGCATATACTATAATGCATGACCAACTCAATGTCCTGTTTGAAAGTCATTTTGCTTTTGCTATTGTCACCTACTTGATAGTCTCATTACTTTCACTATCCTTGAGCACCTTAATCAAAGGAAGACAACTTAGAAAATACAAAACCAGTGTGAGGACTAAAAGCACCCCAATCTTAATGAGATTTTACAGATGATTCTATACTGAAATCAACCAAAATTTCTTTAACTTCCATAACCAATCTGTGGAAGGGCCATGGAAATTTTATAAAGTTAGATTTCTGACAAAGTCTATGAATTTATGTCAATTCATATCAAAATAGTCATTAAATGGCCATATACATATTTTGTCTCAATACTAAGTAATTGGAAGTTATATTTTTTATTTTTTAATCTTAAGACTTAATTTAAGACCTTTTAAAACCCTAGCTGTAAATGTTTTGGGATTTTTGGAATGGAGTCGGTTAAAGATTCATGGAAAAATACTTAAAAACATTATTTTTAAATACAGGAATAATTTATTCTCTAGCTAATAATTTAGCATAATGAATAATGAATTATATTGAAGATGTAAAACACTAACGTGATAACTGTTGTAAATACGTTGATTCATGTTTTAATTCATCTTGCCTGCGTTTCATAAAGGTCATGGCTTGTTTTAAAAGGAGTGCATGCATGGATGATTCTATTTCTTGGATGTTGATAATCTGCAATACATATATAAGTAACATTTTGTGGATCATCAATAATAAATAATAAAATGTAATTATTTATGTATTAGCATGTATATATGCTCAATTCTCATACAAACATTTGCATACTATCACCTCAGTTAAAAAACAATGCTGTGAGGAACAGACCTAGCTGTCAATACTTTCAATATTAATAAAACCAGAAAATCACCTTACTGTACTAGCACAGCTATAAATATCATAAATAATGAAGCCAAATGGGCTGAAGTCAGGAACATAGATAAGAGTGGACAGATAAGAATTTTATTTGTTTGAGATAGAAGAGGAGAAAATGATGGGTTGTTGGGTGTAGTCATTTTTACAGGCTGAGGGAATAGTCTGTGTGTGTGTGGTATGGGGGGACAAGAGGAAACTGGTGAAATTATAAAAAGTGGAGAATGGGAGAGACTAACTAGACAGGTAAAAAAGCTGTGAGGCAGAAATGAGTGATTAATTGAAACTGGCATTCTTATATTTCTGAGGGAATTTCCTCTACTCCAATGATGTTTCACAGATGCTGCTATGGGCACATCAATGTGTAGACCAGTAAGACTTTAACAGTGTGATTTTTTAAGGATGAATGACGAAAACTACATTGTAATAAATACTTCAGGAAGTAACTACCAAGTGATATTAAAAGGTGGTCAACTTAAAATAATAGTAAATAAAAAATGCAGAAAGTAGAGTGTACTGTATTTCTAAAATGGTTTAAAAAAAAAAGGGACTCACGATCTTAATATATGGACTTAGAATGTATATAAAAAAACAGAAACTATAAAGGAAAAAAAATGATTCATGAATCTGATTAACACAGTAGTTCAAAAAAGTGGATGCTGGAAAACCAATGCAAAAACAAAACCAGAAGACAAAACAAACTAGAAAGTTTATCTACATCAAGTAGGATAAAGAATTAAAATTTTAAAGCAATAAAAAGCTGGAGGGGGGGGGGGCAACAAGAAAAAAAGGGGAAAAAATCCCCAATTGAACCAAAGATAATCGGGCAAAGGGGAAAAATAATCCAAAAGAAGAAAAACTACGTGTTAGTAAAACAAAAGGTCTGAGACAAGTGTGGGCAAACTTTTTGACTCGAGGGCCACAATGGGTTCTTAAACTAGACAGGAGGGCCGGAACAAAAGCATGGATGGAGTGTTTGTGTGAACTAATATAAATTCAAAGTAAACATCATTACGTAAAAGGGTACGGTCTTTTTTTTTTATAGTTTTATTAATTTCAAACAGACCGGATCTAGCCCGCGGGCCGTAGTTTGCCCACGGCTGGTCTGAGATAAAAATAAATATATAAAAATAACCTTTTTTAATGAAGTAAACTAAAAATAAAACATACAATCTTTCTTGAGGATAGTTTAGCAATGTTTCATAAGCCTTAGAAATATCTAGACCTGTGACTTAATAATTCACTTTTTAGGAATTTTTCTTAAACAGATGAAAGTTTAATGCAAACATTTATATACAAAACTTTATACTCTCCTAGCTATCCAACATTAAGTGAATGCTTAATATCATAGTATATAAAAATGTATAAGGAAAAATACTAGAGGTAAGTATTTAGTTGTGGAATTTAGGCTTTTTGTAAATCACATGGTAAGAGAATTTCTCTATAAAAAATAGATATCAATATCTATAGCCATGTACCTTTTCATTAAGACAGTCAATTAAATTGTCCACATAAATTTTCATGCTTTTATAGAATTTAAAATTTAGAGCTTGATTTGACGAATTTTCTAGGTTCTGGATGGCATTCTTTGAGCTCTTGACATCTTCTACATATTTTTCATATTCCCTCTGATGTGAGCGGTGAGTATCCTGTAGTAATGTTAATCTATAGAAATATAATAAAGACAAATAAAACCTACTTATTTTTCATACTTTCCTTTCTACTATAGTAAGTAGCAGTCTGGTGAAAGTTTTTCAAAGCTACCTTACAGAGACCAGCAAGGAAACTGACAAGCACATAAACCTGGTCTTATGAGACTTGCTGAGCAGAGGATAGTATCACAAAGAAAGCGGACTCGAAGGGAAAGGAGGGAAAGAACACTTAGGTTTTTAGGTGCTTAAGCTATTAATAGGGTATTTTCAGTCCTTTCCTTTTGCATAAAATCTTGAGTTATATGCAATACTACATGAGATAGTTGTAATTCTAGTTCTTCCAACTAAAGGAGTATTAAAAGAAAACAATAAATGATAGTTAAGTTGTTACAAAAATAATTTGAATTAAGGCAACCTCATTATTTAACATCACTACTGAAAAGCATTGATGTAGAACTAAGGTTGGAGAATTTTTTCTATGAAGTCCGCATAGTAAATATTTTGAGCTTTGGAGGCTAGATGGTTGTGTTGCAACTATGTACTCAATTCTGTGTTATAGCATGAAATCAGCCAGACAACACATAAATGTACAAGCATAAATTCCAATAAAACTTTTATTTACAAAAATAGCCGTGGGCTAGAATACAGAGATAACATAATATTTAAAAGCTGCTACAAATGAAGATTTCCATATATTTATTTCACTACAAAATGCTATAAAATGTTTCCTATGTCAAACCATTTAACTGAACAACTATGACCCCCTTTGTAGGTGACTCTCTGTCTCTTGCAGTCTTTAAGATTCTCTGTCTTGTACATTTGCCATCGTTATTATGACATGTCTTGGTGTGGGTCTTTTGGGGAATATCTTGCTTGGGACTCTCTGTACTTGTGTAACTTTTTCTTCCTCATTATCTGGGAAGTTTTCTGTCATTATTTCTTCAAATAGATTTTCTAATCCTTGCTGCTCTTCTTGTCCTTCTGGCAGCCCTATTATGCATATGCTACTTCGTTTCATGTTGTCCCAAAGCTCCCTTAGGCTCTCCTCCTGCTTTTTAATTTTTTTCTCCAGTTGCTGTTCAGATTGAGCTTGTTTCTCTACCTTATCTTCTAACTCACTAATTTGGTCCTCTGCTTCTTCTACTCTGCTGTTGAAACCTTCCATGGTGTTTTTGATTGTAGCTATATCACTTTTCATTTCTTCTGATTCTTGCATAGGTTGTTGATTTTCTCATCCATCTGGTGAATGAACTGTACAACCATTACTCTGAATTCTTTTTCTGTCATGTTGCATGCTTCAATTTCATTAATTTCCTTTCTTGGCGACTCCTCATTTTCTTTCCTCTGGGTGTTGTGTCGTCTCTTCATTCTGATCATCTCCCGATGCTTCAAACGTTGAGTTGCATGGGCCTGGGCCGTGTGCAGTGGGAGCCTCACACCACCCTAGTGTCACTGAAGATCAGAGTCTCTGTTGCTTCATGTGACCTCGCATTGAGAATCAGGGTCCCTGTGTGCCCATGCACCAAGAATGGGAGTCACTGGCTCTTAGTATGAATGCACAGGGAATCAAAGATCCCAGGTGCAGGTGATAAGAAATACAGTCAAGTCACTGGTGCTTGGTGCTGCCTCCTGCCCAGAGAATCGGAGTCCCTGGGCCCGCGCTTCGCGGGACAAATTCCTGGTGTTCACACGTTAGCTCCCAGGCCAGGGCTCCTGTAGCTGGCACTGCGCGCAGGGCCCATTCCCGGTGTTCGTGTGTTAGGCCTACCCGTTCCTGGTGTTCACACGTTAGCTCCCAGGCCAGGGCACCTCCACATTTTCTTTATCTATTCAACTGTTGATGAATACTTGGTTGCTTCCACTTCTAAGTTATTACAATTAAGGTCTGTAATGAACATGGATGTGCAAATAGCTCTTCAATTATTTTCAATCCTTTTGTCTATGTATCCAAAAGTGGGACTGCTGGATCATGTGATTCTGTATTTGGTAGATAATGTAGTGTAAAACTATATGATATAGAAACCATAGCCAGAAAAATTATGGTTGGCTAAGGTCTGCCATTAGGTTTAACTAATTCATTGAAGTGTAAAGTTGGATTGTTGATTTGAGATATCCCTTCTTTAATGTAAGCAAATAGTTGGATCTTATTTTTTTTATTTTTTAATTCATTCAGCCACTGGAAGTATTTTGATTGTAGAGTTTAATCCATTTATATATAAAGTGATTACTGCAATGGAAGGAGTTACTACTGCCATTTTGTAAACCATTTTATATCCATTTTGTCTCTCTTTTTCTGTCTTTCTACCTTGCTTTCTTTGGGGGGAAGAGAAGAGGGTGGTAGTGATATGCTCTGGAGTTTTTTCTCATTTTCTTTTGTGCCTCTTTTATAGGTATTTTCTTTGTATTTACCACAGGGATTACAAAAACACTTTATGTATGTATGTATGTATATATTTATTTTTTAAATCTTCCCCTGAGAATATTTTTCCATTGATTTTTAGAGTAGAAGAGAGAGGGAAAGACAGAAAACTAGATGTGAGGAAAAACACACCCATTGGTTACCTCCTGTATGAGCCCCAACCAGGGCCCAAGAAGGGGAGGAGCCTGCAATCGAGGTATGTGGCCTTACCAGAATCAAACCCGGGACCCTTCAATCTGCAGCTGAGATTCTATCCACTGAGTCAAACTGGCTAGGGCTACAAAACATTTTAAAGTTGTAATAATCTACTAACTTGGTAATAATCACATACAAAATTTCGCCTTTACATCTTCCCCTCCACTTATTATTAAAGTCCTACATTACATTTTTAAATTTTATATTCATTAGTATATAGTTGTTTTTTTATATTTTAATTTCTATATCTGAATTAAAAGTAATTTTCATACCACCCTTACAGTATTACAGAATTCTGTATGTCTATATATTTAACTTTACTAGAGAACTTTATATTTGTGTATGCTTTGTGCTGTCTAGGGTCCTTTCATTGCAATTTGAAGGACTTCTCATAGCAATTTTTCTAAGGCAGATCTAGTGGTGATGAACTTCCTCAGTTTTTATTTATTCAAGTAGATTTGTATTTCTTCATCATGTGAAGAACAGTTTTGCTGGATGTAGTATTCTCAGTTGGCAGTTTCTTTCAGAACTTTTGAATATATCATCCTACTCCATTTTGGCCTGTTTCTGTTGAGAAATCTATGGGGCTCCCTTGTTCGTGATAAGGTGCTTTAGAAGCTTTCAAAATTGTTTGCCTTTAGAAAATTTTATTATAATGTGTCTCAGTGTAAGCCATTTTGGCTTCATCTCATTGGAGTCCTTTGAAGTTATTGAAATTCATTTCCTTCCACAGATTGTTAAAAGTTTCTGGCCATTATATATTCACTAGAGGTCCGGTGCATGAAAATTCGTGCATTCGGGGGCGTCCCTCAGCCTGGCCTGCACCCTCTTGCAGTCCGGGACCCCTTGGGGATGTCCACCTGTTGGCTGAGGCCCGCTCCTGGGGGAATCGGGCCTAAGCTGGCAGTCAGACATCCCTCAGGCAGCCTGGGAGCCCTTGGGGGATGTCCAACTAACAGCTTAGAGCTGCTACTCCTTGTGGGTAGGACATCCTCAGCACTGCTGCAGAGGCGGGAGAGTCTCCTGCCACCGCTGCCACTATGCTGGCCAACCATGAGCTGGCTTCTGGCTGAGCGGCACTCCCCCTGTGGTCAGTGCACGTCATAACTACTGGTCATTCCTGGTTGTTCTGCCATTAGGGTCAATTTGCATATTACCCTTTTATTATATAGGATAAACTCTCTGCCCGATTCTGCCTCTCTACTTCTTCTTGGACTTCCATAATGTATATATTGTTCTGGTTGATGGTGTTCTATGAATCCCTTAAATTTTCTTCACTTTTCTTTATTCTTTTTCCTTTTTGTTTCTGACTTGATAATTTCAAATGACCAGTCTTACTAGTCAATGTTTCTTTCTTCTGCTTGATCAAGCCCATTGATCTCCTCTAGCAAGCTTCTCAATTCAATTACTGTATTCATCTCCAGAATGGTTTTTTTTTTTATAGTTTCTCTGTTGATATTCTAACTTTGTTCATGTATTATCTTGAGTTCATTTAGTTGTGTTCTCTTATAGCACACTGAGCTTAAGAGGATTAGTATAAATTCTTAGGTAATTCACGATCTCTGTTTCTTCAGGATTGGTTCTGAAGATTTACTTTGTTTCTTTGATTGAGCAATTTCTCCCTGTTTTTGAATGTGTTTTTTATTTTTGTTTTGTTTTGTGTATTTGAAAATGCTTTGTACTGGAGAGGAACTTCACCAATCAGCCTGGCTAGAGATTCTTTAGGGAGAGGGTGTTTTCTCAAACTTTTTATGGGGGATGCAGCTTCTCTGGGCTTCTACATGAAATTTCCCAAATACAGAGGTTTGTGGATTTCTTTGTCAGGAGTTCATAGTCTCTTGTTCCCTTTGGCTGGCTCTGCAGTAAGCCACTGAACTCTCTTTTATCTTCTGTGGCCCCAGGCATTCAAGGTATGACAGTTCCCCATTAGTGTTCCAAGATAGACAAGGCAGAAATTAGTCCTTTGGGCAGTCTCCCTAAAAGAAAGAATGTTGGATGTATGTTCCACTCTTCTTTTCCCTTCCAATGGAGAAGCCATGAGTTGAGTTTTCTCTCTTTAATCACAAGCAGTGATGGCTTATGGGAGGGGCTGATGCAGATGAAATGAAATGGCTTTTATTACCCACTACAATGTGACTATTCTTGGCTTTGAGCCTACCTGGGGTACTGTGACTTCCTAACTGGTTTCTGGTGTTCTCAAAAGGCTTTTAAAACACATATTGTTGTTAAGTTGGTATCTCTATGAAGGAATAACATCTAGAGTTTTGTATTCTGGCACCTTGGTGTCATCACTCCCAATATAATATTTAAAAAATTAAGGGCTATTTAACAATGCAGATAAATGTTTATAACAACACTAAGTAAAAAAACCCACAGAATTTCCCCAGCCTGGGCCCTGATCAGGGCATGTGAAGAAGGCCACCAATCGATGTGTTTCTCTCACATCGATCTTTCTCTCCCACTCTCTCTAAAAATCAGTGGAAAAATATCCTACCCCACAGAATTTGATATTTATTGAATTTAGCCATGTAATACATACCTTTTATAAAGATTAAAAAGACATATATGAAAAAAGACATCAGTTTTGCTAGTGTGGTAACATAGGTGATGCTATTTTTCCTATCAATTTATTTAAGATTAATACTTGTATTTAATAGTTTAAAATAATATACATATAGTGCTAACTTTTCACTATTAAATATCTAGGACAAGTGTAAATTTTAATATGAATATTACTTACCTACTATTTAATTGCTTCTTTATAATTTCTAAATTTACTGGTGGAAATGAAATGGAAGTATCAAACTTCTTCACTGTTTGAAATTCACTACTGTGAGAAAGATCTACGTTTCTTCCCTAAAAATAATATTAAAATTAGTTTTCAACATTTGTTAACCTTACAATTATTAATAACATAAAAGCAGATTATATGCTTCAAGATTTCACTACATCAATTTAAAATTCTATGCCATTGATATTTTTCATAGTTACAATAAAATATTTTTAAATTCTCAGTTTTCAAATAAAGAAGTTTTAAGTTAACATGTAAGAGGCAAATTACAAAATCTTATTTTTTTCTTTAATCCTCACCTGAGGACATGGCTTTAAAAAATTGATTTTTAAAGAAAGAAAGAGAGAGAGAGAGAGAGAGAGAGAGAGAGAAACATTGATTGGTTGTCTTCCATATGCACTTGACTGGGAATCAAACCCACAACCTAGGTGTGTGCACTGAACAAGAATCAAACCTGAAACTTTTTGGTGTATGGACTAATACTTCAACCGAGCCACCCAGACAGGGCACAAATTTCCTATTTCACAAAAGCATGGTTCTCGGTGTTTTTAAAGCTAGTTTGGTTTATTATCTAAAGTAAAAAGGAATTATGCAAATTTGAGTAGTTAAGAATAAGTACTGTGGCATGTTTTTCCTCAGAAGTATTTTTTTAATGTTGTTATACTAATTTTAATTAAAAAAAGGGGGGGGCAGGACTAAGCCTGTTATAGTCATAAATAGCCTTCTAAATCATTTCCCTGGTCAGAAACTTCTAAATTACAACCAAAGACCAACCTTTACTTAGTTTTTTAGTTTTAATAACATGGAGATTTTTACAATACTTTCTTAGCATTTTTACTAAAAGATTAAATAAAACCTTAGAATTTATAAGCACTGTGATTTAGATCATTGTAATTTTGAGCATTATAGACTACTCAGTTAAGTAACATTATCATTCCCATGTTATTGATTTAGAAAACTGAGATTTAGAACAATTAAATAATTTGCTCAAAGTCATATAAATATTTATAGAGCACTCACAATACCAGGGACTGGGGGATGTAACACTGAACAAGATAGTTAATAATTCTTAACTTCATGGGACGTATATTTAATTTTTTAAATATAATTTTTTATTGATTTCAGAGAGAATGGGGGAGGGAGAGAAAGAAACATTAGTGATGAGAGTGTGTCACTGACTGGCTGCCTCCTGTACACCTCATACTGGCAATGGAGCCAGAAACCCCTGACCAGGAATCAAATCATGACCTCCTGGTTCCTAGGTTGATACTCCACCACTGAGACACATTGGTTGGGCTGGAACATATATTTTAGTGGTAGTGTTAGAACCCAAATTCAGAACTTCTGATCCCAAGTACAATATTCCTTTTGTTTGTGAGTTTTGTTTTAAACCCATTTGTTTAACTTCACATTTAAGAAACCTATCATATACTATATACTAGTACTGTCAGTTACTATACAATTAAAGATGAAGATACAGCCCAGCCAGCATAGCTCAGTGGTTGAGCATCAACCCATGAACCAGGAGGTTACAGTTTGATTTCCAGTCAGGGCACATGCCCCGATTGCGGGCTTGATCCCAGGGTGGGGCATGCAGGAGGCAGCCGATTAATCATTCTTTCTCATCATTGATATTTCCATCTCTTTCTTTTTCTCCCTTCCTCTCTGAAATCAATAAATAAAAACAGATAAAGACACATTCTTTCAAGTAGCTTGTAATAAATATGTGGAAAGTGTTTAAAATCTAGTGGGAAAAGCATGTATGTACATAGTGTAGTGGGTTAAATGGTGTCCTGCCAAAAGATACGTCTTTGTTCTAACCCCTGGAACTTGCAAATATGAACTTACTTGGAAAAAGGGTCTGTGTGGGGTATAATTAAGTGAAGCATCTCAATTAAGTGAGATCATCCTAAATTATCAAGTTGGCCTGAAATTCATCAAGTGTCCTTACAAGAGACACTATGTAGAACAGTGGTTCTCAACCTTGGCTGCACATTAGAATCACCTGGGAATCTTCTTAAAATCCTAATGTGCAGCCAAGGTTGAGAACCACTGCTGTAGAAGCACAGCGAAGTCCTTGTGAAGAAGGCAAAGGAGTAATGTAGTCACAAAGCAAGGAACTCCTGGAGGTGCAAGCTCTCTAAGGTGGTGTGTTCTAGTTTATCCCTGTAGAAAAGGCAAAAAAGGCACTTTCCTTGAGAGCCTCAAAGGAAGCATAGCCCTGCAACACCTTGATTCCAGACTTCCAGACTCCACAACTGTGGGTGAATAAATGTCTCTTGCTTTAAGCTGTCACATTTGTGGCAATTTGTTATAGGAGCCACAGGAAACTTAATACATGACATAAGAAAATATTACCTTTATGATTTTAACTGCTTTCCTCATTTGCTGCTGTTCCCAAATATCTTGATTTTCATCTTCCTGACTTCCTTCACTTGTTTCTTCATTTCCGGTTGCTAGGAAAAAAACCAACAGTTCATGTATAAATATTCAATATTTTTCCAATTCTAATACAGCAGCTAACGTTTTTGGGGGGCTTATTACGTGCTGGCTTAGCAGCCTTTTAGATGTGTTAACTTACTCTTCACAATATTTACTCTCATTTTGTAAATGAGAAAACTCAATTATTAGAAGGTTAAATAACTTGTCTGAAGACAGTGTTGAAGCTGGGCCTTGAATCTATCAATTTAACTCCAGAAACTGTATTCATCACCCAACTGTCCCACTCAAAACATCATAGACTCATAAAAAAAAGCCTGAAAAAAAAAGAAACATTTGATTTTTCCTATCAGTTTCTCAATTCTGCATGAGAATCTAAATATTTAAAAATAATTTTTGGGTTATAAGGAACCAACTCTCACTCTGAAATAATAGTATTTGAAGTAACAGAAATGTTGGCAAAACATAATATTGTTTATAAATGAGAAATGTAAAAATGGTCCTTTGAGATCTAAAGATTATTGGTTGACGAAATTGTTTATTATAGCAGGGAAGATTTTAATACCTGACACCTAAAATCCCTGTAGATGTTACACGTTTAATGAATAATCTTTATATGCCCTGGCTAGCATAGCTCAGTTGGTTGAGCATTGTCCTGTGCATTAAAGGGTCATTGGTTCAATTCCTGGCCATGGGATATGCCCAGTTTTCAGGTTCAATTCCCGATTGGGTTGTGTGTGGGAGGCAGCTAATCAATATTTCACTCTCACATCAATGTTTCTCTCTCTCCCGCACCTCTCACTTTCATTCTAAAAAAACCAAACACCACAAAATCAATAAAAACCCATCTTTATAAAGGTGACAATGAAAGTTTTCAATACCAAAAATAAGACTTTGAAATTTTTTTAACCTGTCAAAAAGATCAAGTGGAGATCAAATGATCTATCCAATATAATAAAAGCCTAATATATGCAAATCAACCAAATGACTGGTCACTATGATGCGCACTGACCAGCCAGGGGGCAGATGCTCAATGCAGGAGCTTCCCCCAGCCCACATGCCCCAGGCCAGCCAAGGCCCCCGAAATGCCCCACTGGTAGCCCCGCAGATCGGCTCCTATAGCCAGCCAGGCCTAGGGACCCTAATTGTGCAAGAATTTTGTGCACCAGGCCTCTACTATACATATAAAAGCCCAGTGACCTTTAGGGCGGAACAACCAGAATGACCAGTCGCCATGACATGCACTGACCACCAGGGGGCAGATACTCAACGCAGAGCTGCCCCCTGGTGGTCAGTGCGTTCCCACAGCAGGAGCACTGCTCAGCCAGAAGCTGGGCTCATGGCTGGCGAGCACAGCAGTGGTGGCAGGAGCCTCTCCGGCAGGGCTAAGGAGCAGTGAGCCAAGCGGTAAGGAGGGAGCAGGCGGGCAATTAGGAGCAAGGGGTCCTGGATTGCAAGATGATGCAGGCCAGGCGGAGGGTACCTCCCTCCCCCATGCACAAATTTCGTGCATTGGGCCTCTAGTCCAGCGGTCGCCAAACTTCTGAACCTCACGGACCACCAGTTGACGACTGCTGTTCTAGTCTATATATATAAAAGCCCAGCGACCGAACGGTGGAATGACCAGAACAGAATGACTCGTCGACCAGTCACTATGATGTGCACTGACCACCAGAGGGCAGACACTCAACGCAGGAGCTGCCCCTTGGTTGTCAGTGAGCGCCCATAGTGGGAGCATCGTTTGGCTGACCGGGATGAGCGGCTGCTCCCACTGCTGGCCAATCCCTGCAGGCCACGCACCCCACATGCACAAATCCGTGCACTGGGCCTCTAGTAGTAAATAATATTATACATACCCTTTGGTAAAATTTTGATACAAACATGTCTTTTAGAGGTCATGATGTCATTGACCAAATTGGTATTAAATAAAAAACAACTTTAATATCCTTTAGACCAGTGGTCGGCATACCGCGGCTTGGCAAACCATGGCTCTTCCACAAAATACTGACTTCTGCGCATGGGCCACAAAGTTTCAATTGCACTGTACGTGCGCACCCGCACGTGGTATTTTGTGGAAGAGCCACAGTCAAGGGGCCAAAGAGCCGCATGTGGCTCGCTAGTCGCGGTTTGCCGACCATGGCTTTAGACTATGAGATACTACATTATGCTTTTATGGAGATTTTAATCATAATATTTTATCCTAATAAAAAGCCCTGATATTCATATATTGTAAATAAATTAAATATGTACTTGTTTCTTCAGCCATTCTTTGTCTAAGTGTTTGAGGCTTTAGGGTAAATGGTATTCTTCTTTCATGGTCATCAGGCTCACTCTCAGGATCTTCATCACTATCTTTCTTCGTATCAGCAATGGTAGAAATATGTTTTACATCCAAAGAAATATAGTCCTCTTGTGCCCTAGCCAATTCACGTTTTCTGCGGGCTGCCTGAATAAAAGCTGCATCAGGGATATTTACTAAAAGAAACAAAGAGGAGGATATTAAAAACCAAAAACCAACAGATATAAATATTCTTCACAGTAAAAAAAACAAACTGGTTTTCAAATTTTTTTCACTATTTTGATATGAATGTAAATGACAGTATACTTCTGTAATAGAAAACTATTTTGACAGAGATTAAATAATTTTTATTTAATTTTTAAAATTTATCTTTAAATGAACCAAATGAAGAAGTATTAGAAAATACACTGAAACCACTCCAATATATCTTTTAATTCTTTTAGTCATCAGGTGCTGTTGCTGACTTCTTATTGAGGGCTAGCCATTTCTCATTTCCAGAAGCTCTGAATTGTCAGGGTAGAGATGGCAAGGGCCTAGCAGGAGTTGCTCAGTCAGTTACAACTGAAGAGGTTAGTTGGTAATAGACCTAATACAAAGCCTTAATGTTCATGTACTGTAAATAAATTAAACATGTACTTGTTTCTTCAGCCAGGAAGAAACAGGTTCGTTGGTGATAGACTAGTTTGACATACAAAGTAACAGGAACACTATACTATGATCCACCCCTCTCCATTGGACATTCAGGGATATAGGGAAGTGAGAAACATACTACAATCATCACAGAGCCAAGTTAGCTTTCAAGGTAGCTTGGTGATTCCCATGTGAATACATGTGAGATGTTAAAAAGTGCACAGGAAATAATCAGGTTCATTTACCAGGTGAAAAATGTTTAAGTAACATTTTTAAATAGAGCTTTGTTTTATTTTTTCTTTATTTTATACAGTATAAACCTTATTAATTTGGACTCTTTAAATTCAAAACACGTTTCTTCATGCATGATCTAAACTGAAATTAATCTTTACACTGTGGGAAGAAATGGTTTCATCAGCAAAATACTAAGGTAAACAAAATGGCAAGAGAAATTTTTACCATTTCAAGCACTTAAAGGATTAATGAGGGGTGTCAAGTCATTGAGGCTCAAGTAATTATTTTCTAACCTTTCCCACACACTGGTCCAAATTACTTTGAAAATAAATTTACAAAAAGGTGAAATTCCTGGAGATGCAGAAATGTTCCAATTTTCTAAACAGAAAAAAAAAGAGAGAGAGAGATTTCAAATAACCAGTGCTTAAGAAAAACAAAAAGTGCTATGAAGCAGTAGCTACTGACGTGCTACTTCTGGTCCGTGGAAATAACTGGAAACCAGTATGTAACCAGGAGGTCATGGTTTGATTCCCAGTCTGGGCACATGCCCAGGATGCGGCTCGATCCCCAGAGTGGGGCGTGCAGGAAGCAGCGGATTAAGGATTCTCTCATCATTGATGCTTCTGTCTCTCTCTCTTCCTGAAATCAATTAAAAACATGTTTTTAAAAAAAGGACATAGGCTCTGGGGCAGTGACTGGGTTTGAATCTTAGCTGTGCTTCTTATAAACTGTCTGACCTTGGGCATGTTATGTAATAGAAATGTAATGGTCAGAAACTTTGACCATCATTAGTAATGACCTACTTGTCCCATACTTGACTACAGTTTATGTTATTAATAATAAGATCAATGGTACAGAAAATACTGATATTAGAAATAAAGTTCTTAAACAACAGTCACAAAAATTACCAACCTATTGATGAAAATTCTTCTTCCAGAGAGCTAGAGCTGTCGGAAGATGAACTCTGATCATCCTTAGTTTCTGAGGCATCGTAGGTTCCATCCTCTTCATCTGTTGAAAGATCAACTGTTCTGCATTCTAACGGAATATTTTTTAATGTAACAAAAAGAGACAGGATATTAGAATCAATAATTAAAATTCTGAGCAACACCATGGCATATGTGTAATATGGTGTTCTAACTTTACTCCACAAACTTTTTTAGACATACAGATCTTTCTCCAACTTCCATTCTCTCTGAAACCAATGGATGGTCTAAAAAATATACAAAGACTTACCCTACTTTTATTCCTTTAAAGGAGTAAAATACCCCTTTAAAGGATGCAATGAGAAGAGGAAAGGGAACACCAGAGAAAAACAAACAAAAAAGAAAAAAATAGTTGTCGTGAATAAGTATAAAACAACAAAGTTAATGTGCACTTAGAATGTGTTAGGCACATTGGAATTTGTTTTATATAGTTTACTTCATTTAATATTCACAATTCTATAAAGTAAGTGCTATTACTGAGGAGAACTAGTGTCCTCATCAGGACTGGAGAGGCTAAATAACACGTCCAAAGTCACGAAGTTAACCAGTGGAGAAGCAGGGCTTTCAACTAAATTTCATGGGGAGAAAGGGGGGGAGTGGGGGAAGGGGTCAGGGAATGATAAATACCAAAACCCAATTAGGAACAAACAAATCCAAGATAAAAGTAAAGCAGTGAAGCTGACCAGAGAAACGGTCCCACATTCCCCTATTGGCTCATTTTGATTCATCAGCATATATCCAAGGACACACCAGAAAAGCTGTTGAATCTTCTATTGAGAGCCTCCCCTTAGACCTCCCCTAAATCTCTGGCCTTTGGAAAACAGATAAAAACCCTTAAGATGAAGGACCCAGTGTGTGCTCTCTCTTGAGCACACCTGCACCCCCTTCCCTTTTCTCCTAAGCTCCAAGCGCCCCCAGGGCACTTGCCGCTCTGCACCTGTCTCCAAGGGCTCTCCTGTTGCCTGGGTAACGCGTTCCCCGAGTCCACGCAGCCCAGGCTGGGCTCACTCCTGCGGCTGTGATCTTGCCTCGTCTATCTTAAGCCTTTCTTTTGTTTCTCTGCTCCACGCTGTAATAAACACACTCTTAAAATCACCTGGGCTCCTGTCCTACACCAAGTCAAGAACCCACACGGTCCAGACCATGGCAGGGGCCGACCCATTCCAGAACCAGTCCCTATCTGGTGACAAGGTGACTTACATAGAGTAGAAAAACACACATTCTATGCAAACACACTTATGCTGCCTGAATCCTATACTTAGGAACACATAGGTACTTAAAAATTACTGCACTGTATTTCACGCCTTTACTGACACAGTCCACAGTGTCATCAATGTACCGTTACTGATTTTATATATATAGTTATTTTTATCTCAGTTTTCGCAAATAACTCTTTTGTGACGATTTAACATAAACAGCAAGTCCTGCACTAAAGCTATAACTGGATAACTTGTGACGGTTCATCTAATGGTACAGATGAGCCTCCAAACCGCGCAGGATCCCTTCTACTCCCCCCAGGCGCCCAATGGGGAGATGCGGGCTGCGGGCCGGCCGAAGCGCTCACCATCCCACGATTGCGCATCGCCCGTGGTCAGCAGCGGGTTACAGAAACCTCTAGTGGCCTCTGAGAGAAACATCAATGTGAGAGAGAAACATTAATTGGTGCCTCTTGTATGCACCGTGACTGGGGACCAAACTGGCAACCTTTGGATGCATGGGAAGGACATTTTTTAAAAAACAAAAGGCCCCGAGGGCCCCCCGGACGCAGGGGCCTTTCCGCTGCTGCCTCCGCGCGGCCTCCTTCAGGGGGCGACCCTTCCTCCGCAGGGCCCGAGACTGCCTGCTCCCCCGGCGCCCCGGGTACAACCGACGGCTCCTCCGCGCTGTCGCTGTCACTGGAGTCGGCTCGACGCTGCCGGAAGGTCCTTTTCGGC